CGTGCTAGGCATTGTGGACGGACACACAGATACGCACGTCGTCGTGCTTGTAGGCCGACCGACGTGCAAATCTGCACACCACTGAATGATTTATATAGTAGAGTGGTAGAGAGACTTGGTAGGTCGCATTTACAGCCATGAGTGATTCCGATGAGGACGATCTTGGATTTGTTCCTGTGAGTTCGTATTCTGCATTTTCCCGTTCTGCCACTCTCTAAAACACTGCTTTCTTCCTCGTGAGCGACACCACAACACGTCATGAAGTGGTCACACCGCAGCTATGTCATAAAACCAGGGACTGGATGAAAGCGAACTTTCCTCCCAGCTCTTTATTGATTGATCTCTCCTTTATATTCCCAGCGTGTCCATATTGTGCAAGTGGAACGTAGTCGATGGAAGTGTTTCAACAGTGGCTTTATGTAAATAAACTTAAAAGATATAGTCGTACAATCGAGGCATCATCTCAAGGTGAAAAGCTCTTTGAAACTGGTTGACGTTCAAAGGTTAAGCGAACATACGAAGGTAGGAAGAACTGCTCACATTGAATTCACTATGTACAGTCGATATCTCGAAGTCAGATTAGGCGTGGCTATGGATTTGACGTGGCCGTTTCCGCACTTGATAAAAGCCGTGTGGATAGGCTGTTTCTAACATACTCCGTTGGATATCAGCAAGCATGCTGGAAGCAGCTTATCCGCGCAACTTCCATCAAGTGCGGCGGCCGCCACGTCAAACCCATAGACACGCCTAATCTGACTTCGAGATATGGAGTATAATTGACTTCATGCGCCCACGTGCTCTACATAGAATAGACCGCAATGAGAAAAAATTCCGGATAACCACAAACTTGGGATAACGACACGTGCGCTATTGAAAGATACGGGAGCATTGTGGTGGTATTGTATTCATTGCAATTCTGTTTTGCAAACAGTTCTGACACGTGGGCAGGAGAGGAGAGACTCCAGGGTGCGTAGCGATTTTCACCCCGAAAGTTCCTGCCCCTCCTAGGTTAGCCATAGAGGATGACTCCGTATACTGCGATAGCGTCAACAGTCATGTTGACTTGCATGATAGATGGGATATAAATGAGGGAGACATCTCTCATCATTCCTTAGCCACTGGCAAGTGCTCTCTCAACAGTGTTCATACATAGCGATCAGGCAAGGACTTCTACATGCGTATTTATTTGTTGCTCTGCCCACTGAGCGTATTCGCCTACTAGCATACAACGCTCTATGAGCGGCAGAGCAATCAGTACGCATGTAGTTTTTCCGCTTAATCGCCTACTCGCCTAACGCCTAATCGATAAGTACGCTCTTTTTCTTGAAGCCTCGCTTAATTGCCTGGTCGCCTGGTAATATAGTCAAGAACTATGAAATTTAAGCGTTTGGATGTAGATGGGGAATGCTGTATTTTCAAAAAGTTGGGGCGTGTTTCGTCGCAAGACGTTCTCCCTTTCCCTCAAGCTAGTCCGTTTTCGAATTACTCACCAGACTGGACAAAGCACCCTGTCGACTCCTTATCGAATGTAACGATAGGCAACTAATTACCCATGTTCAATTTACCACTTTTGTCCCTATGTGTGCGCCTTTTTCCTGTTTTTGCTGGAAAATAGATCTCTGTTAAACAGAGCATGACCAAGTGTTACGGTGACAAAATTGGCGCTCAATATCTTTTCTGGAAGATCCTGGATCCAAATAAGGTTCTGATAGCTGTCTAAAAGTCCGTTGTACACAAGAGGTGACGAGATTGGCGAGGCAATATAAAGTCATTCTCTCTCCACATTTAAAATGGGGTTGATACCCTGCTATTTTTGCATCAACGGCGACACCCAGCTGCGAAAGCTTGCTGATGTATGTTCAAAATGATTTTTGCCCTCCCTTCTTGTGGAACACTATTGACAATACCATTTTTGAAGGAAAAAGTCGGGATCCCTGTGGGGTATTATGACGACTAAAATTGAGTATAGAGATGCGAAATAGAACGGCAGTAGAGAAAAACAAAATGACATCGGTTGATACGGCAAGCAACCTAGCTGAAGTCACACCTTATACCACCACTTCCGGAGGTGGACGTGCATAGCTGGTGCAGGCCAGCTATCGCTGTAAATACAGGGTATCCCATAAATATTGCACCACCTTTTCTTTACTTGTAACTTCTTTCAAAATGGATGTATCTTCAAGAGGTTTTCAAAAATTTTAGCAATACATTTACATATTGAAAGGAATGACATTCATTGGATATGCTCCCAGTTGTTGTGAGTATGGCTCCCAATTGCTTCGATCGCAACTGCACTGTGCCCCTAGCGCAGGCTCTGTCCCTTAACATAACCCACATAGGATGGTCCTGCACTCTGAAATCAAGAGATAGGAGAGCCATTCGTTCGAGGATGTGAAATCGAGAGTGCCTCAACAGCGCTCCTGAACAATTTTTGCCTCCTATGCAGAAGCTGGGTCCTATTGAAAAGATCATCACCCCTCCTCAAAGTGGCTAGATACCTCAGTAACAGATGGTGCACCGAAATGTCCCTTGGCTCGGTCTAGTATCAAGTTGTATTCCTTTGTGAAACAGGCAGTGATGGTGAGCTGATATCCCCGTCCAGACCATGATAAGGTTAACCTGCTGCTTCCAGTCTCACTGACTTTTTCGAGAACTCATGCGGGCATCTTCGGAATTTGTAGCTCCGCTCCATGTGAGGAATTTTGTCGTCGATGAAAACGGTGCCCGCGTTATTGCCATTTTCGGCCCTCGACACCAGCTCATTTGACCTTTTGTCTCTTCTGTGCTCCTCTATCCGATCACTCTCTACATGGCTGTGTTTCAAAACTCAGCGTTCTGGTCACCTTTCTCGAGCCAACCCGGGTATTGCAGTCGTTTCGCTTCTTCATGCTTTTCCTGAGATCCAAGATGTCAGAACTTGTGGGGCGGCCACAACAAAGACTACTTTTATTGGTCTTCTCTTTAGTGCACGGTAGGCCGCGGAGCGGTTGAAAATCCAAAGAAGCGCGATGCTCATCACCGGATGTCCGACCTAGCTGTGTGAGAGGTTAGGCACTCTGTTGAAGTTTAGGCGCACCATGAGATGCAGGCCGAACGGTAAGCCGTGGAATTTGGCATGGTCATTGACAAGAGGATAGAGGATTGAAAGGTCTGCCAATCCTCGGAAGAAAAGCCACAAACACCTACAGAATTTGGGCTCAAATTTCGGTGCAATTTTTATGGGACACCCTGAAGTACGCCGCGGGGCCTTGTCCTCCGCCATCTTGATTGAGGAGTGTTGCTATGAGTGCAGCCCAGCCCATATTAGTGACGGAAACATTTCCTATGAGTGCCCATCCTGACTCGTCCCTTCAAGAAAGATCGTAGGTTGACTGACGTTGTGAACAATGCATTTAATTCAAATATTCAAAGGTCTCTTGGAGCTGACTACATAACGTGTTCGCTTTCGTATTGCACTGCACCTTCCTAGCAATTTCTGATTTCAGGGTACAGTAATAGAATCTTCAAAGAACAAATATGTAATCGTTAAACTACTAGGAGCTGGTGGATTCGGAGCAGTTTATAGGCAAGCTAAAGGTATATTCGAGAATTCAACAGCGATTACTACATAAACATTTCAGAGTACATGATCAAAAAGATCCGTCGAAGATGTATGCCTTGAAAGTAGAGAAGAAGATAGAAACTAGGAAACATTCCAAATTGAAAATGGAGGTACGTTCAACGTCAAAGAGTGCGTAGCTCGCAGTCGACGCTACTAAACTACATGAAAGGGTGAAAGAGAGCGCGTTTCAAAATTATAGAGGCACCTCAGAAAAGTTGTTCCGAGTTGGGATGGGGAAGCCTCGTTTGCCTCATTGTATTGAGGTCAGCATGCACTAAACTTATATTTCACTTCATTTCATAGCGCATTGTGTGCGATAAACATTTTTGTAAAGAAATTACAGAGTGCCCCTCTTTGACAAGTATAAAGGCAACCTGAGCAAAGGAAGTTTGGGAGGTCAATTTCTTCTTTCTAGTCATTTGTGTTCCTTCCATGTTAAACACATTACATCAGTAGATCTGGACAATTTGAGCTTTCTACCTAGAAACAAGCTATGCGAGGGTAAATGCTTCACAGCTGTTCAACGCTGCCAGGCTCCAGTTCATGTGTTAAAATTTTGTGAGCAATTTAGTTTTCATGGGATTAGCAGCATCTTTAGAAAGCCAGAAGTATTATTCGAAAAATCAAAGGCGCGATATACGCAAAAATATATTGTGAATGACCTCAAGCGTGCTGTCGAGATATCGCTGTGCCATCTGGATGCTGTTCTTCTGTAAAAGCTCGAATGGTCCACGCACATCAGAGAATAAGTTTCTGATTTCACTATACATAAGGGTAAAGACGAACTTGGCGTAGAGCGAGTATAGTCGTTAAGTCGTCACAACAGGACCACACGATAAAGATAACACCAATTTTATTGTAAAAAATAATAAAGAAAAATAGAAATCTTCTCTTCAGTTTCAATATGGCACCGATCAAATTGACCATGAATCGTTCTGTTGAGGGAACTTCGTCTTGCTAATGGCGTGTGTCGTGGTCCGGCTCAATCAGCATGACTCTTCTTCAGTTTCGCTAGCCTTGAATTTCCTTATGTTCTTGCCAGTTCTTATTGCTCTTTTTCCGTGTCCTTTTCTTGCCAATGCATCCGACTGTTGCTGGTCTTGCCTTTAATCCGCCTATCCTTGGCGATTAGCTATGTTGAATTTCGACTATCTACTCATGTCAGGCTCGTAGTAAAGCATGCACACTCACCATTTGAGTCGCTTCATTGGTGAGCCGGGTATCGGATTGTTAGGGGTAGGGAATACCTAACAGGACCAAAATCCGATGCCCGGTTTGACATGTATGCCCAAGTGCCCATGTCAAGTGGTGTTATCCCTAGCGCCACCCACCTCATATTATTGTCTCAGTGTGAGTATGTGTTGCCAGCTTTTACTGCCACGAACTACTCTTCGATTACTATTTCTACTATAGGGTGGCGGAAAGGCAAAGGCTATGCCCACTAGGATGCTCTAGAAATAAGTTCTTGTTAGTTGTTTTGTTTACTTAGTTTCCAATGTCACTACTTTACGTCAGTTGAAGTTGCCTAGTTTGTCCACTTGTTGGATTTCATTCGCTGACTGACTTATGAATTAAAAGAATTAAAAAAAAATCAAGCGAACTATAACTTCACAGCGTGCTGAAATGGTTCAATATATTTACAATTCTTCATCCTAACTCGGAACAGCAGTTTCTAGGGGCGCCTTACCTTGGAAATGCATTGTATGTAGGTGCGGTTTTTTGTTCCTCGAATTTGTGCAGAAATTGGATGAGAGCAGGATTTAAGATAAGGGAAATTGTTGTGATCAAAATTTTGAGGAAACAATTCCGCGCAAAGTATTGTAGACAATTAAAACTTTCCCGTATCACATGCTGCCCGTCATCGGATTTGCTCGAGCCAGAACGTCCCCTCTGCGAATCCCTTTGGCGTGCAGGTGTATTTCCAATGGATCCTCCTCGCTCGAGGGACACGAAGTCCTTCATTCCTTTCGTTCAGAGCTTTCGTGAAGAAGTCTGACCATCGGGCCGGCGGTCGTCCAGGTGTTCGTTTGACGTCCCGAGGGATCCAGTCGGTAACCGCTCTGGTCCAACGGTCATCGCAAAATCGCATGACGTGTCCGGCCCACCTGAGCGTTCGGTCCCTTGGAGAAAGCAGCAGTGTCGTTGTCACGGGCACACAACAACTAGAATCTACAATATACATCCACATCTTGTTCTGGATCCAAAAAAAGTGTTCCCACTTCTTGGATATGCTTCTGGAGCCACAAGCCAAGATGGTACAACAACTTTATTCGGCTAACGTTTCGGCTTGTCGCCTTCGTCAGAGCCTGGAAAGTCAAAGATCAGTGCGACCTACCGCAGACATCATTTCAAACTTCGAAATAGTCCCCATAGACCCGTAGCCTCCAGGGGGGTGCCATAAATCACAAACACCAGTCAACTCACCTTAGAACGCACGGTAGGATTTTGCTGAGACCACCGCTAGACTGACTCGCTGTGGGTGGCTCCAGATGACCTGGCCCATCGGCATGGAGCCGATGGCGCTCGAAGCCCACAAAGGTCAGCGAAAGGTGCGAGTTCACTGGTTATGGCTAGGCATTCATCTTTCCTGTTAATTTTTGGATTTTTGGCGCTGATCCAAAAGGCTTCCAAAGTTTTGCGCGCCGAGGTGTGGGGCTCTCGCGTCAAGATCCTTACAGAGACCTCAAACTCCGCGCCTCCGTGGCATTGCATCCGATGACCACCCAGGGGGGTCTCCAGGCCTTGACTTAAGAGCCCGTCTAGGTGTTCCTTGATCCTGGTGCACAACGGTCGCCCAGTTTCCCCGATGTACTGCTCTCCTGCAGAGTGCACATAAGATTAGGTAGACCACACACGATGCCATGCAGTCACCCTCCCGCCCGTTAGGACAGATTAAGTTTAGGGTGAAAAAATGATGATAAAGGATAAAAGATAAAGCATTTGCCGTTGATCAATCCCTTTTTGGGATGCGGCACGCATTCTACTTCCATTTGTAGTGGCGTTTGAATGCGATGTGGCCTATACAATGACTTGCGGGGGCCAGCCGATGTACAAGTCAGTGTTTTTATCCTCCCAGACAAGTCTGGTACCAATTAACCGACCCCGGAGGGATGGAAGGCTTGGTTGGCCCGGGCGACTCACGACCCAGGATTTGATCCCCGGACCGCTCGCGTGGTAAGCGCGCCACTTGTCCACTACACCACTTCCGCCCAATGAATTGATGGATGGGGAAAAGGTCTCTACCTTATGTGAGCGATGAGATCAGCTTGGCTGTGAGAACAGCTTTGCGCAGGTGTGGTCTCGAAGATCTGGTCCGGGTGGTCGAGGTCCCCCCACAAACTTAAAGCAACAGCTAGTCCGTAACCGCTGGTATGACCGCGCTTGCCTCACCCCTAACTGTGTTATCTGTCCTAACGGGCGGGAGGGTGACTGCATGGCATCGTGTGTGGTCTACCTAATCTCATGTGCACTCTGCGGGGAGGAGTACATCGGGGAAACTGGGCGACCGTTGTGCACCAGGATCAAGGAACACCTAGACGGGCTCTACAAGTCAAGGCCTGAGACCCCCCTGGGTGGTCATCGGATGCAATGCCACGGAGGCGCGGAGTTTGAGGTCTCTGTAAGGATCTTGACGCGAGAGCCCCACACCTCAGCGCGCAAAACTTTGGAGGCCTTTTGGATCAGCGCCAAAAATCCAAAAATAACAGGAAAGATGAATGCCTAGCCATAACCAGTGAACTCGCACCTTTCGCTGACCTTTGTGGGCTTCGAGCGCCATCGGCTCCATGCCGATGGGCCAGGTCATCTGAGCCACCCACAGCGAGTCAGTCTAGCGGTGGTCTCAGCAAAATCCTACCGTGCGTTCTAAGGTGAGTTGACTGGTGTTTGTGATTTATGGCACCCCCTGGAGGCTACGGGTCTATGGGGACTATTTCGAAGTTTGAAATGATGTCTGCGGTAGGTCGCACTGATCTTTGACTTTCCAGGCTCTGACGAAGGCGACCAAGCCGAAACGTTAGCCGAATAAAGTTGTTGTACCATCTTGGCTTGTGGCTCCAGAAGCATATCCAAGAAGTGGGAACACTTTTTTGGATCCAGAACAAGATGTGGATGTATATTGTAGATTCTAGTTGTTGTGTGCCCGTGACAACGACACTG